ATTGTCTAAAGTGGAATTTAATGAGTAAATTATATTGACTGGATTATCAATATGCATTATATGATTTATATTCTATATATTTTTGTACAGATTGTTTCAAGTGTTTTTTTTTCCTATCGATTTATTTAATATAATTAAAATATTTTAAGACTGTTACTGCTTTATATAGAAACGATCTATTATGATCAATTATAATAGCAAATAACAGCCGTTAATTATTGTTAATATTTACATCAAAAGATTTCTGTCTTGAATTTTATCTCGAATTATGACTTTCAAATATTTTTTTACTTCTATTGATTTATTTAATGATTTTAAGACCTTAACTATTTTACATATAAATGATCTATTATTCAAAATAACACACTGAAAAAACATTTGTTAACTTAACTAAAATTTTCAATTAAATATTATTTTGTTAATTAAACATAAAAAATATTGAAATTAAATATAATATATTAAATTTAACAAAACATATATTTGGCTTAAATATTAATATATGTTTAATTACCAAAATAGTAATTTAGTTGAAAGGTTTAGTCAAATTAACAAATCTTTTTTTCAGTGCAGTTTCTGTCTTAAATTTTATCTCGAATTATGACTTTCAAATATTTTTTTACTTCTATTGATTTATATTTAATGATTTTAAGACCTTAACTATTTTACATATAAATGATCTATTATTCAAAATAACACACTGAAAAAACATTTGTTAACTAACTAAAATTTTCAATTAAATATTATTTTGTTAATTGAACATATCAAATTACCAAATTTTTTTTCAGTGAAATTTCTGTCTTGAATTTTATCTCGAATTATGACTCGTGTAAAGCGAGCTTTAATGACAATTAATAAATAGATCATTGACTGGAACGTTGACCGCGATATCATCGAAATGAGAACTAATATTCAAATAATATTTTTCATTGAAGCAACAATCGTTGAAATAATAGCTGGCAATATTCGCGCGAAAATATCCTGGCCGTTCTTTTTTGACATCCTCCTTTCGGAGAAGAAACCCAACAGAGAAGGAAGGCTGCACACGCTTGTATCGCTTATGTAGCTCGCCGCTGTCAGAAGCGTTTTACAATGAAAGGCGGAATAGAAGAACGAGGCTGTGTGCTTTCGGATGAGAAAACGCGCGCTTTCTCCGAATTACCGTGCCATATCCGGAATACGTTTTGGAGATACGCCAGAACATTTTGAAAAGGAGAATCCGTCGCGAGGAGCGACTCTGTTGCGAATTTTCTTCGCCAACGCGCATCTCTCTGTTCGACGAGGAGCACAAAAGGCCTCTAAGGCAATGAATGTATGCAGGTAGTGACACGGAAAGCTTCACGGAGACTTACTTGGCCTAGGGCGTTTAGAGTGATATGCAATTGCAACTCGTATATATACATTCATAATACATATGTACGCTAACGTGGATATATATATATATACGAGACAATGGCCGTGCATATGAGATAAATATCGCATCGAACGCGTGTATATGCATGCAAAATGCGTGTAAAACGGATAACTATCGGAGGAAATAAACGATTTATTATATAGTCGATAATAAATATTATGCACAATTTCATTCCATCAATTTAGCTCGATTAAAAAATATTATATATATATTTATAATGTATATCTAGCATGTCTCCGCGATTCTTTTATTTTGGTCTCTTGCAGCAATTTTCATTCTCTTGCGAAAGATCAAATTTGATTTTTCATCCGCGACTTTTCCCCTAATAGTCGAGAATAAAAATGTCTCTCGTGATCTTTCTCGAACGGAGAAAAAACCGCCGAGCGTACATTTAATCAGCTTCTCCGTTCGCGCCAAAGCGGATTGCTGAGGAAACCAGGTCGGGGATCACATCAACTGATAGCAGAAAAAAAGAGAATGAAACGCGTGGGATGATGGTCTACGCGTATTTTTGAAATTTAAGATCTCTAGCGAGCTATCGATCTCTCGTTGATCTTCGCGATTTTCCTTGCCAATTTTTCTTCATATGTTACTCCGTTTTTATTAATTACAGTGTTCAATAAAAAAAATATCTGGAATGAGATTAATCGTTTCTTACAGTTTTTTGGATGTTGAATACGAATCCGGTTTCCAAATTGCTCCATCACGTCACAATTTTGAGAAGTTTTTAATTAAGTTTTTAAGGACTATTTTCACGAATTTTGTCATATTATAATTATAATATGCGACGTGCTGGAGCAGTTTTATTGCAATAAAAATAAAGTATGTTGGTAGGACTTTGAACTCTTAAAAGGAATTTTTGGTATCGATTGTGGTTAATAAAATATTTATGGTAGTTAAATATAAGTTGTGTTTGCGGAAGTTAGCCGTGACTTATAATTAGGTTTCATTGACGATTTACTAAATAACTTTTAAAGATTTTTTAGGTCATTGAATATGAATTGTCAAATTCAAAATGGTATTCAATATAGGGGATGTCAAAATTTAAAAAATCCTTTTTTTATATATAAATCCGCTATATTGAGTTGTCATTGAAATCAAAATTATTCACCATTGTGAATTTAACAATTTTGACACTGGATTCGTATTCAATGACCCAAGTCACAGCTAACTTCCGCAATAAAATTCCTTTTAAGGGTTGAAAGTCCTAACAATATATTTTATTTTGATTGCAATAAAACTTATTCACATCATATATTATACACTAAAAAAAAATTTATTGAATTTGAATAAATATATATTTCAATACTACTTAATAAATAATTTATTGAGGCTAATAAAATTGATTTGATGTGAAAAATATAAGAAAATCCTTTTCAAAACTAATAAATATTTATTTGTTTCAAATAAATAATTGATTAGGCGGTATTGAAATAAATATTCATTAATATAATTTTTTTCAGTGTAACATAACAAAGTTCGTGAAAAAGCCCTTTTTTGCAACTTTAAAAAAAATTTCTAAAAAATTGTGATAGAATTATTTGGAAGTCAGGTTCGTATTCAGCATCCAAAAAGCTGTAAGAAACGACTGGTCTTATTCCGATAAATTTTTTTGCCGAACAGTTTTATACATCCGAAGTTGTGTCGCGAGGTGCGTTGAACCTGGCGCTCTCTGTCAATTTTTATCGTCCGTTCGCCAGCGTGTAGTTCCAAATATAAACTCTCCTTCGTGAATGCACGTCTGGTGCTATCCATTCTCAGTCGCCGGCCGCGGCAGAGAAGTTTATTTTCTAGTTTCGTGACACACGTGCACGCGCGAATACACCCGCGTTACCTCTTTCAGAAAAGCCCTCTCTCTCTCGGAGGAGCTTCTCTCGAGGAGCCGGAGTCTCTTTCATTCACGGCGTTCCCTAACTGTGTTGCTATCAGTTTCCGAATATCGTTAGCAAGTCGGCCGAATCGATTGCAGCCAGTGTTATACCGAATGAATTGACCAAATTGCTAATTATGACTCTTGAAATGCCGCCGCGTCAGAGAGGAAAGTGAACGGCAGAATGACACTTATCTGTCACTCGTGTTATGGAAATTAAAATAGGAGGAGGAAAAGGAAGTTTGGTGCTGTCTATAAAAAAATTAGGCGGAATGTGGCGAATATAATACTGCTTTATTTCCATCTTTTTATTCCGGCCCTTTCGTAGGACGTGTGTATTTATTTATGATCGAACTATAGATGCCTGTAAAAATAGAATATAATTAAAAATAAATTTAAATCAATGCGGCTCAATGCCGATGAAAAAAAATAAGCGTAGCTACTGAGTAACAATTTCTCGTGCTTGATAAAAATTTCCAATTCACGCGAGAATTATGTCGAAATATTTTCGCAAATTAATCTTCTGCGGCTGCTCGACGCGCTCGGGCCTCGACAGTCGTTCGATCGTCGTCGAAGACGAGTCGATCGTTGACGATGATCCTCCGAAATTCCCGAATCGCAAGATGACGGAACCCGACGAGAACCTGGAGAAGCATTTTGATCTGTCCGGTATAAAATTCATCGACGACGACGACGAGGAGGAAACCGACGGAGACTTAGCGCCATGCACTAAGAACGGTAGTAGTCGGCCGATCGATCAGATTATTCTTTTTTTATATAGAAAAGTGGGTTGATACACGCGGCGTGTAGTTATTCCCCGCCGAGGGAGGCGTGTATAAATAACCGATGGGCAAAAAATTACGAGGACACGCGCGCGCGCGCGCGCGCGCGTAATAAGGTTCGCGACGCAACGAATTTAACCCCCTGTCACGTATCGGGGGAGGTTAAAAGAAACAAAAAGAAAATTTCTCTCGTAGAAATATTTTTCAACGATATATTTTGTGAGGAGTACGAGGCGGTCGAATTACAGTCGACGACGGAAATAAAGAAAAATATATATGTATACAGGGTGTAACTGAACAAAAATATACAAAGCACATCATCGGATGCAGGACGACAAACTAAATCGAAAAGTCCTGAGCCATTTTTTAATCTGACCTTTATTTTTGACGCTATGAATTGTTAAAGTGTGCCAATCAGCGCGTAGGCCCCGCCTTAATAGACGTACTAAGGCCTATTAAGGCGGGGCCTACGCTGTTTTCCGTTGTAGCCACGCGCTAATTGGCACACTTTAACAATTTATAGCGTCAAAAATAAAGCTCAGATTAAAAAATGGCTCAGGACTTTTCGATTTAGTTTGTCGTCCTGCATCCAATGATGTGCTTCGTGTACCTTTGTTCAGTTACACCTTGTATATGTATATTCGCGCGCGCAAGGAAAGAGAAAAAGGAATCCTTGCGGGAACGGAGGGAGAAATTAAATTAATAATGAAATCACGGCGGGTGGCTTTCTCTCGCGCGCGATATAAATGAGAAACGAAGGGAATTCCTCCAGGCTTGCGAGAGATGTACGCTTCACTTATCTCTGCCATATTCTTCCCCGTTATACGGCCGCCGTTGTTTAACCGAGGCGGCCCCGAGTAATGGGTTTCTTTTTTTTGACGGACGTGTTAAATACGCGATAAATTTGCCTAATTAATCCTTCGTGAATTCCCGACAGAAGAGCTGGACGGGCCAAACGCTGGGCGGATACGAGACGCCTGGGTTATCGCCGTCGAAAGGTGAGATAATGAGTAATTGCAATAATAACGCAGGGTGTCTATTTCCTGGAAGAAGTAAGAAAACCAGGGATTATCAGGGATTTCTTTTTATCTTAAATAATCCGAGAATTTTTATAAATTTTATTGTGACTCGGAAATCTCTTTTCACAAATTATCTTTAATAATTTTACTCTTATTTATCATTTACGAAATATATTTCTAATATATTTTTGCAATATTTTTAATTAAAATCTCATGTAATTTTTTTAGTCTTAAGAGATTTTATGCAATTTTTATAAAAAATTGTTCAATTTTATAAGGTTTTATTTTACTTTAATAAGGTTTATATAAATTGGTACTTCTTAAGAAGATAATAAATTATTTTTGTTTTATATTTTTATTTTAATATCTTTAACGTTTAGATAAAATAATACACAGATGAGAGAGGGAGACAAAATTTTCTCTTAGTATTTATCCTGAAAATTATGATAATCGTGGGATAATTATTGGAAGAATCTTATAAGAATTTCTCTGATTAATATTTATCACACACAATAAAAATATTAATACATACCATAATAAAATATAAAATATGTGATATATTTGATTAATTTTACTATGTGTACATATTAATATTTTTATTGTGGTAAATATTTAATCAGAGACTCTTACAAAATTCTTCCAATATACCATATTATCCCACGATTACCATGATTTTTAGGATAAATCTTAAGAGAAAATTCGCTTCGTGTATATTGCATTTTGTTACATATTGCTCAAATTACTTTTACCATTAATAAATCAATGTTAAATGATAGAAAAACTGTAGTCTTTGCAATCGTACAAACGGAAAACGTTAGAAAGTGTATATACGAAACCTTTAAAAACCAGCATCTTTAGACATTTTCTTATTTTTCCTGAAATTTTACAAAAATCCCTGGAAAATTAGGGAATTCTCAGGGAATTTTTTACAAAATTTGATTAGACACCCTGTAATGGTACGAATGTAAAAATCATTGACATCTTTCTGATATTAAGTCTGCACTCTAAAAACAAGTGTGTAAAAAAGTACTTCATTTTAATACACAATATTTTTCCTGTGTAATTCAGTAAACATGTTTCAAATGCAATGTTTTATACTTGCAATTACACATCGTGTGTAATTTGAAAACACTTTATTTTATAACAACGCTATAATTTACACAACCGTGCAAAAATAAAAAGACAAATTTTAATACAAATATGTATTAAACAAGCAAATTACACGTTTCGGGAATATTACACACACGAAAAAATTATACGTTAACTCAACGCATTATAAGTTTTTCTTATCTATAACATATGAGAATTGTTAACATAGCATTTAAAAATTACATATGTTTAAAATATATTAAGAAAAATAGTCTTTTAATAGTTACAAGAATTTTATAAAATTCTAAATAATAAAAAATAATTTAAAAAATTATAAAAAGTGTGTAAAATGTTACAAGAATTACATATATACAATATTGAAAAAAATATATTAGTATTAAAATCAAATATACATTTTGTTAGATTTAATACGTTACATTTAATTTAAATATTTTTATATGTTCAATTAACAAAATAATATTTAATTGAAAGGTTTAATCAAAAGTTGCTAAATCTTTTTTCAGTGCATAAAATGTTGAAAAAGTACACGCCCGTTTTTCGAGTGATGTATACGCACGCATGTTATTTAGCTTAGATATAAACACGCGCGTGCGAGGCGGGAAATCTCTAATAAATGTGCCCGCTTCTACATAGCGTAAATGCATTTCTGTCGGGGCGCGGAATCGCGTGTATCGATTAAACGTCATATAAAAGGCGGTTATGTCCGGCGGCGGGCGAATATGTGTTTTTGATCGAACGCGAGAATGCGTCATCTAAATGTCACGAGAATCCCGCGAAAGCATGCGTTTCAATCGAGTCCGATAATGACAGTTCGTGATGAGATATCGCGAAATCTCGAGAAAAGAGTTCCGTATTTTCAGATCCCTCTGTCTCTCTTTCTTTTCTCTCTCTCTCTCTCTCTCTCTTTCTTTTTTCTTTTTAATTTTTCTTCGCTATTCGGAATATATCGATCTGGTCGGCGCTCGTTCTCTTTTATACCCAGATACTTCAATACTGACATTAATGGTACCTCGATGTTAATGCCAATAATACGATAGAATCAATTTTGCGCTCTTACTTATCTCGATACCTCTTTTTTCTCTCCCCGGATACGAAATTTAATCGCTCGAAGATATAATTTATCTTATCCGCGAAAAATTAAATGTATGCGCACCGAAAAAAAATTTATTGACTTCGAGAATAAGTATTTATTTCAATATATTGCCAATAAATAATTATTTGAAACTAATAATATTGATTTGGCGTGAAAAATATTTATTTGACATAATAAGAAAATCCTTCTCCAAGGAAATACATATATTAATTAATTTAATAATTTTTTTCCCAGAGTGCGCGTGTATTTTATTCGAGAAAAAAACTTGCGCCCATTAAATTGTCCTCGATTACTTGGACCATTATTTTTCGAGAAAGAATCTTTTTAGTGGCAACGAATAATCCTCTCGGCCTATCTTTTCGCCGTTGCAAGTTAGATTTCCGCAACAGCGTCTCACAGACGCAGTTGCATTTGCATGCGTTTTCCGAGAGCACGCGAGAAAGAAGCGAAATATAGAAAACACAGCGATAAGGATTGCCTTCTGTCTCCTCGTGACTCACTTCTCCTCCATTCTAGTATCTCGTTCGCCTTCGCGCAAGGATAAGCAGCGAAGCGACACGGCTTTTACAAATGGACATTTTCTCTCTGTTCGCAGGAGCGCGCGAGAGAGGCTGCAGAAACTGACGGCGCTGAAGAAGATCCAGCCTCGCGATATCCAGGCGATTTTACATCAGCAGGTACGTGAGAGCGTGAGACACGTAATTAGCTGAATTGCCTGTTAATATCGTGTTCGAGCGATTCGATAGCTCCGGAGACGAGATACGATCTTTGTACACCTATCTCTGCCTTATATTCCTCTCTCTTTTGCTCACCGCGCCCAAGAAGGTGAAGGAAAGTTACTTTTTACGTCAGAAAGATCTCTGCTTTAAGGGGATTCTAAATGTTCTTGAGAAGTCTGCTGTTTTTTCCTGTTTTATCGACAAAATGTGAGGTTAGATAAACTATAAATCTATTTATTGGCTATACGGATTGGTTTTTACTTGAAATTAGACCAGGCCGGATTTGGCGTTGGATAAAGAAATATATTTATTGGATAATGAATGCTTAGATATCAATTTGAAGGCCTAGTAAACGAGAATAACTCATCCTACATTTTCGTGTACACATGAAATTGATATCTAAACATTTACTTATATTTTTTTATCCAATATCAAATCCGGCTTGATCTAATTTCAAGTAAAAAACAATCCGTATAGCCAATAAATAGATTTATATCCGTATAGCCAATAAATAGTTTATCTAACTTCACTTTTTGTCGATAAAACAGGAAAAAAATTCCCTTAAGCAAACGTGATTTTTCGCGATCCTCTCTATCGATTCTTAAACACGGATCATCGTCTTTTTGCAATATCTCGATTATTAAAGTTTTTAAAACGTTTAGAAGAATGGAGTAAGATGGTTTCCCTCACATCTGGCGCTTTAAAAATTCTCTCTTCTTTAATTTTATTACTTTCAACAATCTCGTTAAAAATAATGACATATAAGATATACTTTTTTTTAATTTCTTGCATTTAAAATATTTGGCGAAGCAAATGTTGTGTGTATGGAAAAAAATATTTCCTACCGTGGATAAATTTTAAGTACCTCTATATTACATTTAATAAATAACTATAATTTAATTAATTGGGGAATTTTCTATTATGTAGCTAATTGTTAGAAATATTAGTTACCATGATTAAATTTTAGGCGTGGTAATTAAATTTCAGACGTAATGTAGGGGTATAATATATGGGGATATCTAAAATTTAACTATGGCAATTAATATTTTTTTTCGTGTTTGCTAAATATTTTAAATATAAGAAATTAAAAAAAAAGCATTTTTTAAATGTCATTATTTTTAACGAGATTGTAAAAGTAAAAGATTAAAAAGAGAACTTTAAAGATAACAGAAACTATACGAGAAACTATCTTATTCATTCTTTTAAACGTTTTAAAACTTTCGAGATATCGAGATAAAGAGACGATGACCTACCTTAAAAAAATTTTTCTTAAAGTGGCGATGTAATATGTAAAATTTAACAATGGTAATATTTTTTCCGTGTATAGATACATTGTAAAAAAATTTATTAACTTAACTAAACCTTTTAATTAAATATTATTTTGTTAACCAAACTGAATGAATATAAAAATATTTAAATTAAATATAACATATTAAATCTAACAAAATAATATAGTATTGGAAGAATTTTTATAAGAGTTTCTCTACTTAATGTTTAAAAAGTATTTACATATTTACATAGTAAATTTTACTAGTAAAATTAATCGAACATATTTAATATGTCATTGTGATAGATATATTTTTTTGCGGTAAAAATTTTAATTAGAGATAAATTCTTATAAAAAATATATTATACTACCATAATTTTCAGGATAAATTCTAAGAGAAAATTCTCTCCGTGTAGATATATTTTTCAGTCGACGAATCGACATTCTTGAATCACCTGGCAATTCATTATATCTATATATTATTAAAAATAATTACCATTGTTAAATTTTAGGAAAATCATGTAATTGTGAAACAATATGGTATTAAAAGAATTTTATGAGACAATTTTCTGATTAATATTTACCACAATAGAAAACATTAATATGTACATAGTAAAATTTAACATATTATTCGAACATATTTTATATCTTATTGCGCAGTAGATATTAATATTTTTTATTGCGGTAAAAATATTAATTAGAGAAACAGTTTATTTTATATTTTGTATATAAATATTTATATTATTTTTGTATTTTTATACGTTTCCAATTATTCCATTATTAATTAAAGAAAAATTCTTATAAAAAATATATTGTATCCGCATGGTTTTCGGTAAAAATTCAAAGAGAAAATTCTCGGTGTACACACTAATACAATCCGCGAATAGAAACGTTAAAAGAGCGACACGAGACGGACACGTCGCATTCTCTCGGCGCTTCCGTCATCCGGGGCCCCGATTCTTATTCCGCTCGCGCCGCCGCGCGGCTAGATTCAATCCGACATGCTAAAAGCGCGAATCCCGCCGCGTCGCGGCTGCGTGCAAATGAATCGATCGGGCCGCGAGCGAGATCGTTACTATATATATATATACGTACATACGCGCGGAGGCTGATGCTTATGAAATGCGGAATGCAAAGTAAATGAGCGCGGCGGAGAGTGAGCGGGAACACGGCGCGATTATGCGCGGCCTTGTTTACGCCGGAGCTTATACGTAATGTATGTATGTATGTATGTACGTATGTATACGCATGTGCTCGTTTCTCGGTTGCTTCGCGCGTCCGAATTCCCCGGGTTTCGCGATTACGCAATTATGAATTTTATGAGGTCGCCGATGACGCGTATTCTGTAAAGAAAAAGGGGAAAAAAAGCGGAAAAATAACAATCTGCATGCACACACATGTGCATATATCGATACCCGATGCATCGATCCACGTCGAATTGATAATCAAACGGCGAAATGTCGCTGTCACGCTTTACTCGACGGTATATCTCGGAATTTTCAACGGGAACGGAAGTCCATATTATTTATGAATTCGCGTTTCCGATGCGCTACGAACGCGTAAAATTCTTTAAAATTCCTTACGCGCGCTTTATAAATATGGAAAAGAATTTTCCTTCTCCTCAATATATTCGCATATCTTTGTAAATGAATAGTAAGACCTTGTATCTACAAATATTATAATTTTTAAATATAATTAATATTAATATAAATTTATTTATATCAATATTAATATAAATATATTATATTATATATTATATATATTATATGTATATTATATATTATATTATATATATATAGATATATTATATTATATTATATTATATATTATTATATATTATATATATTATATATTATATTATATTATATATTATATTATATTATATTATATTATTATATTATATTATATATTATTATTATATATTATATTATATTATATTATATTATATTATATATTATATTATATTATATAATATTATATATTATAATTATTATAATAATATATAATTTTTTTATTTTGGACGGAAAAGAGGGGATATTGTTACCGTACAAAGAGACCTGAGAAAAATTCCGCGCATTGTTCGTTATTAACTGCGTTCCGATCGAGATATTTTAGGGTAGTATGCGGGATTGTTTCGCGCGTGATCGCGATACGGCATGCGGGCTTAAAATCTATAATATAGCAGGCACGCACAACGCGAAATGTATGCATCGAAGAAACCGCACGAAGGATATGTCGTAACATATACACACGATGTGTGACGGGGTCGTTAATGAGTTTTCTTGATTCGTGTACCTATCGTTTGCAGCGCTTTTATTGCTGCATCGACAGCAACCGACACGACGGTATATCGTGCTCCTTTTTTCATATTAGCGCGATAATTTAGTTAAATGAAAGGCACGAGAGATAACGGGACCCCGGGTTTAATGCGACGACGATATCATTCGGGAAATTGTCCGGCCATTCCACCTCGTCAATTTTTTTTCCCCTTTCCCGACGATGGTATTAGGATGCGATGGAGGAGACGCTCAAGACATTCAGATACTGATGAGTTTTTAATAGTAAGCGAGTTTTAATCAAACACTTTTATGTCTGCGTGAATCTATCTCTTCGAAATATACATGAAGATTTGTCCTAATAGCAAATGCTTTCGACGACCTATACAAATAAAAAGCGGATGAAAAATTTCAGTGGTACAATAATAATGTAAGATGCGATCGATAGCAATATTTATTATTCAATTGAGAGAGGAAAAAATGGCGAGGAAAGGGAGAAATTATTTATTTTGTGTCTCTTCCTCTCTGACACATTTTAAACTACTTTATTTTTAAAACATTTTTATATATTAATATATATATATATATATATATGTATATTTATATTATATATATTTATATATTATATATTTTATTATATATATTATATATTATATTATATATTGTATATACTATATATTTATTTATTATATATTTACACACACACATATATATATATGAAAAAAGAGTGCATATACTTATAAATATATATCTGTATATAAATGTAAAAAATGTTTAAATTAAAAGAAATGCTTCTAAAGATAGAAACAATTATATATACTGTACCTATATATGCATATGTGTGAGGAAAAATGTTACGAGAAAAGAGCTGTTAGCATTCCTCTTTCGTGACGATATCGTCGTGACATTGGCCCGATATCCACGTTTGCCGTCTGTTTATCGCTAAACATTGCTGACCGGTTTTCTGAGTTTTATGTAATGCGACACGTCCACGATCGTCTCTTCTCTTTTTATGATTGCGTTTATGACGAATACTAATATTTTATATTAAAATTGATTCCCCTCTTAACATAAAACGCGCTCGACGTGTCGCGAATTAAATAGATAGTTACGCATTGAAGGTGGAAATAAATGCGGAGATTGTATTTTTTTTCCTAGAAATACGGAAGCGACATACGAAAAACGAGACCAAGCGCTATTCTGTCATTTTTTTTCATAAAGCTAAATTGAATGCTTTACGCTGTATATTACCGTCACGTGATCGCGGCACACATCTATACATTTGATTAAATTTTTAATCATTGTGCGGCTGAATACAAAATGCAATCACGGGATGGCATTTATTATTCGTCGCTGATGTAACTTTTTCGCGGAAAATTTCACAGGAGATAAACTGCGGATTTAGTATTATCGGGATAAAGTCTGTTGGCAATCGATCAATGAAATAATGCTTTTCAAATCAAATCTAGCTGCTAATTTGTTGTATGCTTGACGAATGTTTCAGATAAATGACGCGGTAGCGTCCACGAGCGAGGATTCCGCTGCGAAAGACGTGTCGAATGGTCAAATTACGGTCACTTTGGCAGACAAGTAAGTTTTCTATCCGTTTTTTTAATATATTATTTTTTGTATTACACGTGCAGGCAAAGTGGCACTTTGTGTGCGTGTTTTCTGTGCGGAAAGCGGCCGATTTCTCACGCCGCCATCTAGCGGCGACGCGATGAGTGAATAAGCCGCATTCAAAGCCATTGCCTACGGCTGAGCCGCGTTCAAAGTCATTGCCCACGGCTTTAGCCGTGGACAATGACTTTGAACACGGTTATTCCCGCACCGTGCCGCCGCAAGATGACGGCGTGCGATCGGCCACCGCACTTGATACACAATATACTATTCATTCTTCATATTTTATTATATTGTATTTTTGTTTAATTTTTTCGAAATAATATTTTATTATTTCCATCGTGTCGAGCAAACTTATAGGTGCGATTTTTCATTCTCGAATCTGCGGGGATGATAAAAATTCGAGGGGTCCAAAAATGTCTCTGTTAATTAAAAAAAAAATAATTTGTGTGAAGTATACGTAGTATAGTGCCTTGTTTGTCAGAGATATTTCTAATTAATTTCCGAAGGCTTAATATCCCCCGAGACGTTCCCGTCGAGGCATAATAAATCACCAATGGCTGCTGCAAAAGCGGGGAAAATATGCAGAAACGGCAGCTGTAGAAGGCGCGATATATGTCGCAGGCCGGATATGACAAATTGCGCGATTGTCGCGATTGATATCCCTTCACAATGTCGAGCCGTTTTTATTTTACGCGCGAAACGACGAGGGAAAGGCGGAAGACGCTTTCGCTGTATTCTGGATCTCTTATTAGGGGAACTTATGAATTAATTCGATCCCTCGTCTTAATTGTTTTTCAGGGAATTGGGCACGAATGCATTCTCCACGAAGCTTAGCAACGGTACGATTCCCAAGGGATTAGCGAGAGAGGCTGACATTCGAGTGGAACACGTCTCGCAGGAACGAAAGGACGCTTTGGAAAAGCAGCATAGCTACGAAGAGGCGAATCTCTTGGTTAGTAACATGCCATCTCTTATGCAACTCCTCCTCAAGCTCACAAATGCGAGCGAAATTATATTCGGAAAAATGTATCCTCGGAGGTGTTACTCCTCACATTTTTTATTCCATTATACGAGTATATAACATGAAATGATGAAATATTTCACTTTACGGAAATTTATAGCGAATATTTTATTAGATTTTTCAGCAAATATATATAAATAAGCAGAAGCATATTCGATTTATTGTATATACATATACGTGGATTGCATATTTCTTACATTGTGCAATACTAAGCTGTCGCTGTCTACATATAGTTATAACTATAGTAGCTTTCACAGACATTTTTTTATCGCTACATTCCGCTGGCACCGATCGCACATCGCTTACATAACTAACATCCGTTGTAGATTTCTTAAGTAATTATTAAACAGTTTCCCGGAATAGTAAATCGCCATTGGTAGTTTATCGTGCTTAATTGCCAACGTTAAGCATGTTAATGTGAGCCTTGACTCACACAAGACTACTGTTATTTACGTTTCACGGAATGTTTCTTCGAATTAACGGTCGGACTACAATCGCGGTATCACTTTTTTCAACTATTTCTATCAAATTAAATTAAATCCGAGCTTATCATTAAGCAACTCTGTTTATTTATTGATACACTGAAACAAATTGTTAACTTGACTAAACCTTTCTACTAAATTACTATCTTATTAATTGAACACATATTAGCATTTAAGTCAAATATATATTTTGTTAGATTTAATATATATATACATATATATATATATATATATATTTAATATATTATATTATAATATATTATATTATATTATAATTTAATATATTATATCCTATATTATAATATATAATATATTATAATATATATTATTTAATATATTATACAATGTATTATAAAATATATATTATTTAATATATTATATATTATATTATAATGTATAATATATTAAATAATATATTTAATTTAAATCTGTCTCATTGTCAGTATCGATTCTTTTATAACCCTCGCTAGATATCTCTCACAATCAGTTTCATTGTTGGCTTATATTCCAATCACATCTATATCGATCATTTGACAATAAGCACGAATTATAATATAACCGTCACTCTCATTCATGTATGTATACTTTTTATTATTTGATTATTTTTTATTGCGTCTGTATTTATAATTAATAATTTGACTATCGTTTTTATTTAGTTCGATTTTATTACCGTTTCAGTCTCTCACTTTTTAATTGGAGAAATGATTATAGCATATACTCTTATTTTAATTTTGGATCTATTCATCTTGCGAGTCTTTTGATTTAATTTTATTCAAATATTTTTCTATGTCCAATTAACAAAATAATATTTAGTTCAAAGGTTTAATCAAGTTAACAAATTTGTTTTTCAGTATACATCGCAGTATCAAGCTTGTCATTAAGAAAAATCTCTAAAAATAATTAACAGAAATATTTGACACACACACACACACACACACCACACCTAATCTAACGTCGTTAAGAAGGAATTCTGTGCTGTCAAAAAATTCCAAATCGATGACTCGAGAGAACGATAAAGTGCGATAAGTTCCGACTTATCTTGGGTGTCACTTAAAAAGAAAGAAAATAAAATAAAATAAAATAAAATAAAATTGTTTGCAGCAACCGGTGCAGGGCGGAAGGATCGGCGAACGTCGCTCGAGCAGCCCTTTCCAAAATGGTCGGACAGAAGTGCTGATCGGCGAACCGGAGGGCGGCCCGAGGTCGCCGCGAGGATCGACGTCTTCGGCGGTGAACGACGGCAATTTCCTGAATCCACCGGACGAGCGAGACGAACCAATTTGCAGGTAAGAAGCACGTTGGACCGTAAGTGCGCGAGAGCGTTTTAAGAGAGCTGCTCTTACGCCTCCTCTTCAAATCGCTCCTCGATCGATGGCGCTTTTCGCCCTATTGTAAGCGCCGTCCTTCTTGCATTAAGCAACTCGGAATTCGAGTTCTCCCTGTGCGAATATAAATTTGTTTCTACCAGACACTTATATATATATATATATATATGTCCATCAAAAGCGCGGTGAACAATTTTTTCTTCACAGGTTTACCCTTGTAACTCGATATATCAAAGTTGTTTTTTGTTGATTCGATTCTCTCTGTCTCTCGCTCGTTAATTGTTATCGTTTATCGTTTATTCAGTCGCTAATTATGAGGGCTGATTCTGTTCTGAGAACTCGTAACGAGGTGATTAAGCGAGTCTCTGTCTTGCGAGATTTGATTAGCACTTTTCAACAGCTAGTTTGAATATTTGAATTTTAATCGCGAGTTTTCGCGATTATAATATATATTTTTATCTGTCCTACAAGAGCGCACACTTGTGCGGCAAGTGACTAATGAGACAATTATTTAGATCACTTTAAAATCTATAATTCCGCGCGTTCTGCTTTACCTTAGATAGAAAGTATAAATTCAACCGATGCCCGCTGGATGTCGCCATGAACTCGTACTTAGTCGTGGATCTTTTATAAAACCGAAGAGAGAGGCGAGAGAGTTTCTTCTAGCAAGGGATTACGAAGACATATATTTTTTTTATTTTACAATATATCCTGGCAATTGCGCCCATCATTTATTATATATTCTTTTGTTGCCAGTAACATCCCAAGTAACAAGCATACGTCATTTTGACGTTTAATGACGTCAGTTTGCTACTTGGGATGCGATACTCGTGCATTAAAAGTCATTATGTGAAATTTCTTTTATGGAATTTATTATCTGTCAGCTTTAATGATACGATATGCATCGGATTTTTATTCACTAATGAGCTTTTTGAAAAAGATAACTCCATTATAATTGTCGAAGATTTTTCAAAGTCCCCGACTTCAATTTTAATAATGGATTCTAATTTTATTAAAAAAAAAGAGAGAGAGAGAGAGAAAAGGAAAAATTATTATTCGATAAGCTTGAGTTCGTAAAAAAAAGTCACACGAGTCCGATTAAACTCGACGCGATTATACGATGTTATCTCGGCTTCTTGATTCCTCGCAACGAGGAATCTGAAATGCATCGGGACACCCGAGTCCGCAATTTCAGAGCGAAATTCGATTCGCGAAGAGTGCATCTTCGAATAATCGTCAGCCGATCAAATACGGATTTCGAGCACCAGGTCGAAGGCTCCGCACTCTCGACTTCTTCCCTCCGGAGAGAGAGAAAGAGAGAGTTCAAGTCACTTCGTCGGTATTTCACGCTCGCGACACACCCATCCTGAACCGGTGTGAGTGCAGCCTAAACAATGCGTTTTCCAGTCCTCGGTATGCAGCGCCTCGACAGAGGCCTGATCTCTCTCTCTCTCTCTCTTACCTTTTTTTCTCCCTTTCTCTCTCTTTTCTTCTTTCGCTGTGAATTTCGCCTTCTTCCTCCTTCCCTCTTTTCTTGCCGCGCAGCCTCTCGCTGTCTCTCCTCCTTCGCGCGGTTCTAACATGACACGAGAGGGATGCATGGCATATATATAAGGATCTCGTGTACGGAAGCGAGAGAGAGAGAGAGAGAGAGAGAGAGAGGAGACTTGAAGTGCGACGACTCGGCACGAGTGCGGAGCTGGGCACCTCTTGTGTGGTACTCGTATATATATATACCCGCGCGTAAGATTCTCCACGTTTCGCGCAATTTTTCGCGTTACAGTCTCGCAATTAACGCGATTCTTCTCGTACAAAGAATGTATTGTTTTCCTAATGGCGAGTATACGTCATTTTGACGTCGAATGACGTAATAGACGTCAAAACGATGTCATTTTGACGTTTAATGACGTCAGTTTGCTACTTGGGTTCAAACCTGACGTTTCCGGAATCGTCTCTTCTAGATGCACTCCAGGTAGCAAGCATACGTTATTTCAATGTCGAATGACGTCATTAGACGGTAAAATGACGTTTAATGACGGCGCAGTTTGCTACTTGGGTTAAAACTTGACGTTTCCGGGGACCGTCTTTTCCGGATGCACCCCAGGTAGCAAGCATACGTCATTTTGACGTCTAATGACGTCATTTTGACGTTTAATGACGTCAGTTTGCTACTTGGGTTAAAACTTGACGTTTCCGGGGATCGTCTCTTCCGGATGCACCCCAGGTAGCAAGCATACGTCATTTTGACGTCTAATGACGTCATTTTGACGTTTAATGACGTCAGTTTGCTACTTGGGTTCAAACCTGACGTTTCCGGGATCGTCTCTTCCGGATGCACCCCAGGTAGCAAGCATAGGTCATTTTGACGTCTAATGACGTCATTTTGACGTTTAATGACGTCAGTTTGCTACTTGGGTTAAAACTTGACGTTTCCGGGGACCGTCTCTTCTGGATGCACCCCAGGTAGCAAGCATACGTCATTTTGACGTCTAATGACGTCATTTTGACGTTTAATGACGTCAGTTTGCTACTTGGCACTCTGTAAAGTTCGCGATCCTTCTCGCGAAATCTTCCTCTTCGCAGAGGCCTCTCGTTGTTCGTCGACCTTTAATTCTCCAACTTGTCAGGACTCGCCGGTCGTCTCCTCGGAGGACTCGTTTAAAACTTTGGCGTCAAACGATGCGCGACGACAAGAGACGGACAATAATTAATGCGCGAATTATTAACGGGGCGACGGAAAGTTTAATGGTGTCATAACTAGACGCGTCTCCGGGCCGGACCCGAGAACAGATCATAGGTAACTTATTCATGAGGTGCGAATGACTGCGCTCTATTGACATGGGGCGCTTTTTTTTTTTTAATAAAGGAGACCGCAGAATGAATGCTCCGAAAATGAAATGCGAAACAGGCAGTGTTTGCTGTTACTAAAAAAAGTTTATATAGATGATCATCTAGATGAAACTTTGACGTCATCTTATCTTTACATAGATAATATAAAAATATGTCTATATCTATATCTGCATCTTAGATGAAATAAAGTATCTCGACTAAATTATGTAGAATAATTTTCAGATAATTTTAGTTTAGAATCAAAGCGCATAAAAATACTTAAATAAATGGGTTTACATAAGCAATCTTAAAAATTATTATCTAGATGAATCGATGCAATTTTATCTTTTATCTAGATATATTTAAAACAAAATCATCTTCATCTTATCTAAGATGAATTTACATATTTTTATCTCATCTTTATCTAGCTAATTTTAAAACCATCTAAGCACAATACTGGAAATAGGCGAGTCTCTTCCTTTTTTTTTAGAGAGAACAAGAAATTATTTATTGTGGGACAAGTTTGTTTAAATGAGAAAGAGAGGGAAAAAGAAAATATCGATATATCGCTCGTTCCTTTGGATCTAGTAGTATGTAATCTCGCGATCGGAGCCGGAAACTGTCCCAGTTTTCACGCTTCAAAGCGAGAGGCATCTCATGCGCGACGTGTCCTAAAAGCCCCGCGTGATTATTGCAAGTAACGTATTTTTTTCTTTTTTTTTTTTGGTATAGAAATTCCATTCACGCACAAGTCAGTTTTTGCGTTAGTATCATTACATCGCGATTTTTTTACCGACCAAAATCTATTTACGACCGCCGCGATATTCCCCGAGAAACAAGATCTTCTTATCGCTCGTGTTTAATCATTAAGCAAATTTTACTGTGCTATTAACGTTTGATAAGAAGAATGAAAAAAAAAGGAGGAAATGAAAAGAGCGCGTTTAGAAAGAGGGAATATTCAATGAAATCTTGCTAAAGGAGATCAGCTGATTCCCTCTCGAAATTGTCAAATCTGTCACTTTTGACTTTAGCGGGTTGACTTTTGAAAGATGCGTGAAATTTATCGGGCAACTAACGAGGTAACTTTTCAATGCGATGTTTGTAGAGACCGCACCGTTTAATTTCGTAAACCTCACGTTCGTTATCCGTTCGTCACCGATATATCGATTCCTCGCTCTCTGTCTCTCTCTCTCTCTCTTTTCTCTCGCTCTCCCTCGTAATCGATACCGTCCGATACCTAAACCCGCAATGCAACTGCGTTTACGCTTCGGAACGGTGACATTTCTTCACGTCGGCATTTGCATCGTCCAAGGATCGCCTTAAAAGAACGAATGTATCGCGACGCGATCTCCTGTAAGGTCATCTTTCGATGTGCTACGCATTTCGCATCGAATTCATTGCAGCGGGTAAATATGCATTTATTTCATATTTATTTATTTATTTATTTATTTTATTTATTTCTATATATCTCGAGTTTTGAGAAAATAAGTGAGTATAAAAATTATTGACGAATTCTCTATCCTCTTCTGGATATTTCAACTCCTTTTTTGCAAATATAATTTCTCGAATTAATTTGCGAAATGTTACTCGTCAATATTTTCAACAATAATCTATAATTATTTCTTATATAGTTTTTGGATGCTGAATACAAATCTGGTTTCCAAATTCGTCAATGTTGAAAAATTTTTCATTGAAGTTGCCAAGAAGGGCTATTTTCATGAACTTTGTCAAATTAAAACAACAATATGTGACGTGCTGGAGAAGTTTCATTGCAATCAAAATAAAATGTGTTGTTAAGACTTTTAATTCTTAAAAGGAATTTTTTTTGTCACTTACAATTAGGTTCAAAGTCATTGGCTAAAGCCGTGGGCAATACATTGTCCACGGCTGAAGCCGTAGACAATGACCTTGAACGCGGCTATTCCCGCACTCGTGACCAATTGTCAACTTTCCGCACTTGATACACAATATACTATTATGCGCTATGATTCTAAAGATAATACTTTTTTTCATCTAAGATGCAGATATAGATAATGCAGAAGATGCAGATATATATAAAGATAAGATGACGCCAAAGTTTCATCTAGATGATCATCTAGATAATTTTATCTAGCTAACAGCAAACACTGTCT